TTGATTGGAACGCTTGAAAGGTATATGAAGCGAGTCCAGAAGAAAAATCTCATTAGGATGCTGTAGTTTCACGACGCCTCGACAATTTCGCGAATATAAAAAGATGGCAATCGTGATTTTGTGTTTGAGGAAAGGGGAGAGATCACGAGTAGGACTTTTGGGAGAATTAAGAACATTAGATAGGCGGCCTTCTGTAATATACACGTAATTTTTTAGTTTCAATTTGTCAGAATTAATATTATAAACGTAAATAAGTTTCCTTCATTTGCTGTAAAAGTCAGACAAATATTACGACACTTTAATTAAAAGTGTCAATAATTTTGTCATTTATTATTAAATGTCACTTAATTTACGACATTTCTTAAAAAATGTCAAAAATTTAATCCTTTTCCGACATTTATTACATAAGTCATTTTTTAAATGTTGTCATAGCCCTAACTTCTTGTAGTAATATTAATAATCTTAAACAATTTTAAACAAGTTAAAACTCGCATTTGGTAGTAACCATTATTATATAGTTAGTATATTTAAATAACTTAAAAATAGAAGTATTACCAGTTGTGCAAAAAAATGATGCAAATAGCCTATAAGAAGTGTGCAAATGGTTTTGCATTGGATGCAAAGCAATAAATAGTATTCTAACTAAATGTAAAATTTTAATATTTTCTTAATTTATTCAGCTGTTGTGAACTCAAAACAATCAGTGCTTAACACTTGCAACAATAAATGACAAAAATAAAACCAATAACCTATAGAATGACACACTTAATGACAGAAAATGCCTACATAATTTAATTTTCATAAGAAAAGAAGGACGACAATATGCAACGCAAAAAGATGGCATACCTTTTTGTCTTTTTTTCATTGACTTGTGATTCTTTGTCTTCGTTTTTCCATCTTCTTTATCTGCCATAAAAATAATATTAAATGAGGAACAGGTAAAATCGGTCATTACACCAAATCAAAAATAGTTGGATATAGTTGCAATAAAAAGGAAATGCAAATGCCGATTCATTTGACACTGTTATCCCCTTTTCTGTACCCTAACTATGAACAAAAAGGATGAGGACAAACAACATGTTATTGATTTTTCTTGATATTAAAATTATTTCATCTTGTGGAAGTTTCATGTTATGATATAAAATCTTTTTTTCTTGGTTATTTTCTGCATAAAATTTTGATCTACCTTTTTGTAGGTTTAGTCGCATGCATAAAGTCCAGTCACTATTGCATTATTTTTGTGAAGATGTCTGCGAAGATACTTGGGAAACCCAAGAAAAAAAAAATCATAATTTACATAAATCTTTGAAAAATTGATTATTTAAAAAATATATGGGCGAAAGGCAACAATATATAAAAAATTAGTAACAAAGGGAGCAAAATTGAGATACATGTCTTAGAGACGTATACTTCAGCTTTCCTTCAAAGAGAAGGAAGAAAAAGCAAGCAATGAAAAAGAAAAAATAGAAAACTACCTTACCTGAGATCCTACTATTTGGATTTTTCCCGAAAGGGCACATCCATTCATACGAATGAGTAATAGTGTTTGTCCCAAGAAGGCAGCCCTTCTTATGAAACCGTTAGATTGGCGTAACGTTTTCACTATTTAATTGTAAGTAGGTTAGTCAGATTTTTAAAAAGGGTATTAAAGTAATTTGACTTTTTAGTTTAGTGCTTTCCACTTTTATAATAACTAGTCTCTATGATCGTGCTGTCTTGCGATATTTACTATGAAACGCATATCTAAAATAATAAACTTTCAACTGCATATGTTTTTAAAAAAAAAAAAACAATTATTAGCATCAGATATATATACAAAATATAATAATCAATTCTATGGGTAATATGACTTTACAACGACATTTAAGGGTTAATTTTAAACTTTTTTCAAGGGTTAATTCCTTTGATCGGATCTATACATTACACACAAGTGAATTATCATACTATCACATCCTTCTATTACGCGTGGGAATAGTTCTATGAGCTCCTTTTTTTTCTACTGAAACTTGTGTAACCTTTTACAACTATGACTATACGTACTTCTACATCCAAATATTTCGGTCGTATCAATCAAAAGTAGAAACCAAATACGGTCAGAATAAGAAAAACAATAACGGATATCAACAACAAATCAAGAAAGTGACTTCTACCGTCTAATAAGAAATTTTTTCCTGAATTGAATGATAGACTTGCATGTTGGCATGATATATAGATAATAAAATTGCACGAACAAAAGGTAGAACTGAAACATTTAATATATAAATCTTGATGGGGCATACGAAACAGCGAAACTACTTCTTGACCATATAATATTTTTGAAATTTATTTTAAACGATTAATCGTGAAGTACATATATAAAGCACATAAACAACAACAAAAAAGGAGAGAACATTTGGTTGAAGAACGGAAAATTTAATGTTAATAGTTTTTCTAGAGTAGGTTAAGTATTTATTATTGAAACTCAAAGACAAAGTTTTGGTAGGAGACTGAAAGTGACGAATTCTTAGCCAACTTGAAAATCTTAAATATTAGTTGATCTAGTATTAAACTTAATGGAGATTATAATTTTATCCAATATAGAATGTAACTTAATTCACTTTTCAAATGGTAGAAAAGTCGATCGATAATTCAAGGATATTTTAGTCATTCAATATTTAGCGTTTAATATTCGTGCTTTTATAATAACTAGTTTTAGGATACGCGCGTTGCGCGTGTTACCTATCTCAATGAATATAAAATTTTAGAAAATTACATAAATATTATATTTGAGTTTGGGTTTGAGTTATAAAATTAAAATTAATAAAAACTTAAGTTTCTACAAGTTGTTGATCCTAATTAACTAACTTCAACGAAGGAAGAAACTCTCAAGACCAAAACACAATTTTTCTATTTTTATGATCAAAAAGATATATCATATGAATTGTTTCCAACATATTAAAAAAGACAAAATTACTATTACAAAAAGTATTATTCAACCACTACATTTTGATTAATCTACTATTTCTTTATTTTGGAGGGAACTTTCTTTTTTTGTCCAAGCACACAACCATGCATCCTAATATTTTCTTTTATGAAAGTAAGAATCTAAGATTGTAATGAAATTAATTAACGTTAATAGATTCTGAAAGGACTATGTCTGTAATGGCCCGATCGGTCATTTTGAGCCCTAGCACGTTGTTCATCAGTTTGAGGCCATGAGTAGATTCACTTCAGGTATTATGACTTGTACGCGTGGTCAGAATTGGAATTTCGGAAGTTCAGAGTTGATTTGGAGAAATAATTCTCATTTCGGAAGCTTTGATGTCACGACCCAATTTTTCCTCCGTGAGACGTCGTGACGGCACCTAGTCTCTACAATTAGGTAAGCCTAACATTTTGCGGAATAATAAAATAAAAATAAAAATTTAACCAACTATTCAAAAATATACAACAATCCCAAAACCCGCAATATCGTGAATCAAAAACTACAGGAGGAAAATCTAGTGTCTCTATACATCAGAGTCTATCAAAAGAAAATACAGAAGATAATGGACATGGGGAAGAGTAGAAGGGGACTCCGAGGTCTCCGGACGTGGCAGATATACCTTAAAATCTCCAAGGCTATCCCAGCTCACTGATAATGCGACTGATAAGGAGTACCTGAATCTGCACACGAAAAACATGTGCAGAGAGTAGCATGAGTACACCATAATCGGTACCCAGTAAGTGCCAAGCCTAATCTCGATCGAGTAGTGACGAGATCAGGTTAGGACCCTACTAGTATATATATAATAAAATAATATAGAGTGTAATACAATAATAAAATAAAGGCTGAAATTTAACAGTAATAAAATCATAGAAGGTAACAGCTCAGTACACAGAAACACAACAGGGGATCTCCCGAGATACCGTCTCGTAGTCCCAAACGTAAATGTGCAGAGGGATCTCCCGGAATACCGTTCCGTAGTCCCAAAGTAAATGTGCATGAGGATCTCCCGGAATACCGTTCCGTAGTCCCAAAGTAAATTTGTAGGGGGATCTCTCGGAATACCGTTCCATGGTTCCAAAGTAAATATAAAGTATAGGGGGATCTCCCGGAATACCGTTTCGTAGTCCCAAAATAAATATGCAGCGCAAACAATAGAAATGCAACTACATCACGAAATCTTACGATTTAGACTAAGTACCACTCAAAGAGGAAGCAAGAAATTCACTAAGCATGCTGCACAGAGTTCACATATGCAATTAAGACACGTAGATATGCTGTATTAGACTAAATCTTTATAGCTACGCAAATGGGAATAACTCAATTAAGAATGAAAATAGATTAATACTCATAAAAATGGTATAACTCAAAATAAAAGGAAAACATGTTGCTGCTTAGTAAGAAAAATCAGGTTTTTCGACAACTAGCACGTGTACGTACTCGTCACCTCACGTACACAATGCTCATATATCACAATAGTTCCA